GAACTGCCGTCTTTCCATGTGTTGAACGCCTTGATTCATCGCAGCAGTTACATTTCCCCTAAAAAATTAATCTGCCAGTCGGCTAGCAAATGCCAAACATCTGCACAACCTCCTCCGTGCGCCGTACCTCGTTCAGATTGGTTGCTAGGAGGAAATGGACATGCTCATGCTTTTTTTAGGCCCTGCAGGCATTGAAAGGATTAAACGTAGAAGTGTCACGCTGCGTTTGAACTCGAGTATAAAGATTCAGAGTGAGAACAAGCAAGTTTCTGACCTTCAAATCCAGTCTTATAATAGCATTACTTTTGCAAGGATCTTAGCAGATAAAGCTTCAGTTCATGAGTGACACAACTTTCTACAAGATAGTTCAACAAATAGAATTTCCAAGTGAACTTAGGTAAAGGCGGCCCCCTTTTGGTCCACCCTAAAAGCGGCTACCATGTCAGACAGTGATTAACCTGCCAGCCAGCGCCACAATACCAGTTCTGAGTGACCCTTGTTATTACGCACATCAATCACAGGCCTACGTGTTCCTTCTAGAGGGCAAAAAAAAAGACGACCATTACAGTCTAACTTCTTTATGAAGAATTTAAAGGGCATCTATGGTCAATGACTAAAAATAAATCTGTATTTCTATATGGAATTTCCAGAAGTTCTATCCCACTCCTACTAACAATATTGATCTAGAAGTTTGTAAACTTACTTATTGAATATGCCCATAGGATGCACTTCCTTGTATCACAACTCTCAAGAGTCTGCCTTCTGAACTACAATGTCTAAACAATGCAACGTCACCATTGCTTGCTGGAAGCAATGCATGTTGGGATATGTAGTCTGGAGATATTGAAATGTCATCACATCAAGCAGCAGAGAAAGAAATGCAAAGCACACTGGGAACCCAGGAATTTATTGAAAGTGATGGGCAGGCAGAACTCACTACATAAAAAAAGGGATTTTTCAAGTAAGCTTTGATTGCATTATCAAAAACAACTCTAGTATGTATTCCTATTCCAATGCTGATGTTATAACAGGATAGGATATAATGGGACTTTAATACGTTTTTAATGTTACTTATGAAAAGCATAAATCGGTAAGTGATTAGCTTGCAGCGTCGGGGTGCTAGATACAATTGCCACCAAATCTCTTATCTCCGTGCAGTGGATAGTGTCCCCCCAGCTTTGTGTGGGTTTCATCCACATTCCCAGATTTCGTCTTACGACACAAAACGTGTGTGAGAGACTACAGCAGGAACATTAGACTAAATGACGGATGCCGATGGTCTGTCTGTAAAGTGCATCTTTACAGGAATCTGTCAGTGTTGTATAGATGAGTAAAAATAATAAATGCATAATCTGCTAGAATATGGTGAAAAGCATTTTCAAGTGAGAACAAAGTGCAGTGCTGTTGACAGAAATCATGCAATGTATAATGGGAATAAGGAAGGATCAGAATTATACAGCAGCAGTCTGCCTGGGATAACAAATATATGACAAACTCTCAACATGATGATCAGTGCTTGTACTGGTGCTAGACTAGTTAGGAGAGAAGATATTTTTATTGGACTATCAAAAGATCTCACTGGCTATGGAGTGTAATGATTTAGAAGACCACATGCACATGAGGGACTGCGGATTAATGCGGCAGGCATTCCAGGTGTGTCTGTGAAGATGTGACATGCCCATTCAAGTTAAAGGAGAACTATGAGGCGAGTGCTTTTCACCCTCCTCATAGTTCTAGCCGACATGTGACAATGAGACTGTCACAAGTCGGCTCAGTAGATCGGGAGGTGAGCAAACACATACCGGCCTTCGCTCACCTCTCGATCCTGTCACGGCTCTCTGCCGTGACAGGGGAGGGGCTGGATTCCCCCCTCCGCCAGCACTGACTGGTGGATCGGACGGGGGAGGAGGCGGGTACAGCTGTCTCTGCTTCTAGATAGGCAGAGCCAGCTGTCAGTCACGCAGCTGGGCGGATCCCGGCATAATTGTACGGATTCGCTTCAGCGTCTCCGTGTACCACGAGCAGCAGCTCGCGGTATACTGCGGCATCTCAGTATACCGCGAGGGTCAGCTCGCGGTATACTGAGCCTAGGGTGACGGGAGGACGCTAGTTTGTGTCCTCCTGTTACCCTAAGGAGAACTATGGGGAAAAGCCTTAACCCCATGCTCTCCTTTAATGACAGGGCGACAGCGGGCGCATCTGTCCGTGGCTGTCCAAATGTAATTGTACATGGAACCATTACCTGCAGACTGGGAGAGATGCTTGTCCCGGGACAGAGTGCTTACAGTACGGACACCTCTCGGACTCCTGCTGCAAGAGTCTGTATGTGCTTACCGCAGTAATACCCAGACACCCATGTTCCGGATTGACATCTCCTCGTTGCAATAAAGCACATTACGTGCATTGATGCGCTGCAGTACCATTCATTTTGAATCACACCTCAACACACCTGCACTACCATGCATTCCATTTCCAGAAAAGGGGTAAGCCCCTGTTCACACGAGTGAGATTTGTGGCATGTCTTCTGTCGTACGACAATAGTAACTGCATTCTCTATGGCGCCTATTCACATCAATGCAACAGGGTGCAGTGCAATTTGTGGAAAGGTGCTTCTTTTGATGCTCCACAGAGCATTTTGGCCCTATAGACTTTAATGGAAATGCATGAAATCGCATATAACATCCCTTTGTGTGCTTTAGCACATGACAAGCTTGTTCAATTTCTAGATATAGGCATGGAGTTTGTTTGTTCTCCCTGTATTTACGTGCGTTTACTCAAGATTCTCGTATGTGCTCTCACAATCCAAGAACATACTGACCAATTTCTGGCATCCACCAAAATTGGCCCTGGTGAGTAACTATGCACATCACTGTGAGGCTGGTGTGATTAGTTCAATGCTTTCTAGAAAGTGCTGCGGAATGTGCTGATTCTAGAAGTATTTTTTCCTGACTACAGTTTTGCTTTAATTTCCAAAGCGAATGCAAATAATGATGCAAGAAATTTCTGTGGATCTACAAAGCCCAGCAAGAGCAAGACTATTGCTAAATGGTACTTTGAGCATTTCCATTGCCAATTTGCGCACAAGAAACACACACACACTATCCTGTAATATACACAGATTATATATTATACATGATTAATTGCAGCATCAAGTATTTATGGCCCTCAGCATGAAGCACTTGCCAGCAGCAGTGATAAAATATTACATTGGATTGACCTATGAGCTGCATAAGAAAAACACATATGGCGGATGACTTCTTACATATAGCACATAATACTAAAGCACTCTGATGCCAGCCAAAATTTAAATGCCAGCAGGGCATGATCAAAGCAATAGCAAGGAATCAATGCATTCATGAATATCTATGCATTTGACATTGGAGCAACTACACAGCTCCTTCATCTGTCAAACATGAAACTAATGTGCTATACACAGTTCTGGATGGGCATTTGTTTTACTGCCGACTAGTACAATAAGCCAGGTCAGGCTTCTTCTAAAGAGACTGCAACAATTGTAGAAGAGGCGATTAAAGGAGAACTATGAGGTGAGTGCTTTTCACTCACCTCATAGTTCTAGCCGACCTGTGACAATGAGACTGTCACAGGTCGGCTCAGTAGATCGGGAGGTGAGCGAACATACCGGGTTCGCTCACCTCTCGATCCTGTCACGGCTCTCTGCCGTGACAGGGGGAGGGGCTGGATTCCCCTCTCCCCGCTCTGCCAGCGCTGACTGGCGGAACGGACGGGGGAGGGGGCAGGTACAGCTGGCTCTGCCTCTAGATAGGCAGAGCCAGCTGTCACTCACGCAGCTGGTAGCTTGCGGTATACTGAGCTTAGGGTAACGGGAGGACGCTAGTTTGTGCCCTCCCGTTACCCTAAGGAGAACTATGGGGAAAAACACTGACCCCATAGTTCTCCTTTAAGGGGGGACATGATCACCATGTATAAATACATAAATGGTCCATATAAAAGAGCTTGGTGCCAAATTATTAACTTTAAGGTCAATGCAAAGGACAAGGGACACTCTTTGCGTGTCTGGAGGAAAAAGGAGGTTTAACCATTGCATATGGAAAGGATTCCTCACAGTTAGAGCTGTTAAAATGTGGAAAAGACTCCCCCAGGAGCTATTTCTAGCTAGCTCAGTTAACGTTTTAAAAAAAAAAAATCTGGATGTATTCCTAAATGCACAGAATATTATTGGATATTTAGTTCTTATAGATATATTAAGCACCAGAGATTGTTGATCCAGTGAATATCCGATTGCCTTATGGGATCAGGAGGAATTTTTTCCCCCTGTTAATTAACTATGTCTAATAAGGTTTTTTTTTGCCTTCCTCTGTATCAACAGTGGGTAACTGTGGGCATAGCGTTCCGTTTTAGGTTTTTCTTCCTCTTATCTCTATAGGTTGAAGTCAATGGACGTGTCTTTTTTCAACCTGACTATGTAATTATATAGATTTATTTTCCGCGCTAAGATAAATCTAAAAAACTAAAAGCAGCTGGCACCCATGTCAATAAATACCATAAATGTGCAAAAGAAATAAATAAATGTGCCCTGTTGTGTCCCCTGCTGAAGTTAGGCCAGTGCAAGATGAATTCTGATTGCTTACTATGGGTTCCTGCTTTTAAAGTGCATGTAAACCCTAGGTCTATTTTTAGCATGTTTGGCGTATAAATATAGTTTGCGTGACCCTGCTGCATTTTTTTTAACCTTTAGATCCTGCCAGTAACATCACTTCTCTTTTCAGGCTGACAACACTAAGCCACATCCTCTTAATTAGTGGCAGTGTTAGCCTGCTTGTTGGTCATTTGGCTACCTCTCAGGCCAAGCATGCCTCCTCCAGATCTAATAGGCAGTCTAAGGACCAACTGAAGTAGTGTGGCACAGCAAGTCGATCTGGGGGACAGGGGTTATTATTTAAAAGGAATACAATCACCACATGACACAGGTACTTTTTCACTTGAACATTGAAATTTTTAGATGGCAGATTCCATGAGGGATTCCATGAAAAAAGTGTCTATTGCCACCTTAAATTTGAAAGCGGTCAATGAATAGATTCAAAATCTGACTCCCTTCCCAACCCTGATGTCATTGATCACTAAATAACCAAGATACAAAATGATAGCTGTATCTGAAAGTAGCGTCATCCTCTGATGATACACAGGCACAGATATGACATCTAATATCTGAATTGTACAACTACTACTGTACTTAACAGGTCCTGTGACCCAGAAACCAATAGCATGAAACAGTACAGTTAAAGTGTATGGAAACCCTAACACTGAACCGCTCTTACTTGCTCCGTTTTGATCTGTTTACTATACCATTGAAAAGTGTTCTGTTACATCAATTCAATAATGGACCTGTTGATCTTTTCAGAACACTTGTGAGCCAATAACTTCTTGTGCTCGTTGCGTTTGCTGACCTCCGCCAAAGATGCATTACAGTGAGAGAGAAAGGAAAACATGTCTGAAAAAAAGGAAAATCATGCTGCCACATCCAAGGACTACTAAGCTGCAATATATTAACTTTTTGTTCTTGGGTTCAGATATGCTTCAATGGCCACCTGAAATTCTGGCATTTTTACACTTTAAAAAAAGGTCCTGCCTTAGAGCACACACTACAGTGTGCTTAATACCTTTGTTATCTATTGTGCTTTGTGCAGCTCGGTTTTGAAGTCAGCAAAGTCAGGCATCTAGTAACATGGTGAGACTAGTTTCAAAGATACAGCAGAAGGTACTTTGGCTAACAAAGGTAGTAGCTGGCATCTTAAAACACCTGTCCTTAGGCAGGAATTCTAAGTTGAAAGTGGTTTGCTTTAAGAATGATCCTGACTGATAACCTCAGGACACCAATGCTGAAGGAAAAGAAGTCAGTCAGCCAACTATGACTAATTCTGTATTCCAAGTGTAGAGAGAAGTGTAGAGCCATGTTCACAGGCTATGTTTAGGATTTGCAAGTTGGGAAGCCAACACAGCTTCTGCCTCCAACAGCCATGATTTTCAAAGAGCTTTTGACACCAGAGCCATGAAGGCTTCCTTCATAGAAAATAGACATGTTCTGAGTGCTCCAGGGCTGCCATAACAGGCTACGACCAGACAATCCATAAGCGACCCTGCTGGTTTTCACTTTCTTAATAAAGTTGGTAGACCACTATCAAGCAGAAATGTTGATGGGAGCATTTTAAAATGCTTGACTGGTGAACCTTTATAGTGCTGGTGCCGTTATTTGATCCAGCACAGACTCCTCGGGTCCCACGGTGTCTGCCTGACGTGCATGCTCACGGCTGCGTGCATTCGCCTCCACTGTGTCTCTCCTCTTCTCCCCGCCGAAGATCTCTAATGCGCATGCACCCGCCCCATCATCCTGCACGGCTCCTCGAGAAGCTACAGATCTACAGACGGGAGCGAACGGCGGAGACACAGGTAAGTATTTACCTATTTGGTAACGTTTTATTTTATTTTTTATAATGTTTTTGCATACATCTACTTCTTGTAGTAATTATATGTTAAAAAAAAAAAAAAAAAAAAAGCAAATAATACTTTAATGCCAAGGTTACTAGGAAGAATGAATAAAACAACTTTCTGAATAGAAAAATCTAGATATTTATGTGAATGTGATGTCTTGTTAATACATGTACATTATAAGAACTTTCAGGTTTATGGTTTTTTATTATATACAGACCTTGGAGAAGTAAACTAACTTGTTGAATATGCATGATGTGCTCCTGGTTGATAATGCAGCACAGTAACCGTGCTTTAGTTTTCCTTTATATCAGTGCAGAACAATCATTCTGCTATACCAAACACATAGTTACATAGTCAATATGGTTGAAAAAGGCCAATGTCCCTCAAGATCGACCTCTCAGGGCAGTCTAGATTATAACTGTGCATTGTGCTTTATCTAGCATATGTAGCACATAACAAAAACATACACAAGTCACTGGTAAAAAAAGAGCAGTTAGCAGGGAACACAAGCGAGCAATTGTGTGTAAATTCTTCTTCTCCTTTAGTGTTTCCTCTCAGTCTGCTGGCTGTGACATCTACGAATCCTGCTAATCTTCCATCACAGATTTGGGGCAGAGCGTGGTGAGTGAGGTCACCTATCGCAGCAGATTCTGTTTGCAGGCAAAACAGACAGAAAAGCTTTCTTTATTTCTGTATGAAACAGCTTTTGAACTGAACTCTATCTGCTGAGTTAGATTACAAGGGAAAATACAAAAGGTGCAGACACATACTATGAAAGTGCAATAATAACCATAATAATAGTATTTGTACAGCGCTTTTCTCCCTAAGGACTCAAAGCACTTTACAAAACATGGTAATCATAAAAACAATATTGTAAAGATAATGGATAATAAATCCCATAGGCTTGAATAAGCAAGTGAGTCCTATGTCCAGGGATGGAGCTGGACAGAAATGGAGAGTAACTACCGCAGTGTTGGAGCCGAGCCTTTCTGGGAATGTCCAGACCCCTCTGAGGAAGTGACATGTAGCTTGAGTAGATCCTAGAGATATGTTGGGTTAAATCTTAAAAATGCATTCAAGTACCCTAACTATTGAAAAAAAAGGTATCTTATTTGTGCAGCTGTAGATCCTCAAAGCATCTCCGAATTGGTGCTGACACTGTCCTTCCTTCTTGAGGGTGGCTACTTTTGTTCCCCACGGTCACTGTGTGTGTTGTAAAGTAGCCACAGCTCCAAGCTAACTCCTGTGATGGACTACAATCTCACGTTTAGTTTGCTAATTTGTATTGAAGCTACAGTCTATCACAGGAGTGAGCTTGGAGCGGTGGCTGCTTTAAAACACACACACGGACCATGGGGAACAAAAGTAACACCCTCCAGAAGGAAGGACAGTGTCAGCACCAATTCAGAGATGAATTGATGATCCACAGCTGAGTAATGCACAAATAATGTACATTTTTGTTAATGGTGAATGTGTTTCTAAGATTTGAATCCTAAATTTACAGGTCTATTCACAAAAGGGTGAAGAGTTTGGAGAAGGCAGGAGAAGTGAACAATCTAGGACAAAATAGCCGATTTGGAAAAATTCTCCAATTCAGCTCACTTTCCAGTTGAGCTATGTTGTCCTAGATTTTTCCCTTCTCCTGCCTTCTCCAAACTCTTCACCCTTTTGTGAATAGACCCCTTAAGTGTCACTTTAAGCTAATCTCCCTTTTTACTGGCGCGTAGCGGAGAGTATGGAGAATTGGGGTAGGGTGTGAATAGCGAGGTGCATTTCTTAATAAGTGGCACAGTGATTAGCACTTCTGCCTTGTAGCACTGGGGGTCCTTGGTTCGAATACTAGTCAGGACACTATCTACACAAAGTTTGCATGTTCTCCTTGTGCTAGCGTGGGTTTCCTCCGGTTACTCCGGGTTCCTCCCACACTCCAAAGACATGCTGGTAGCATTATTGGCTCCTGTGTAAATTGGCCTCATATGTATGCATGCTAGAAGGGGACCATAGATTCTAAGCTCTTTGAGGGCAGGGACTGATGTGAATGCGCACTGTGTAAAACTGGTCAGCACTATATAAAAGCCAATAATAAACACATAGGCAGCATTTTGCACCAACTGTAATGGTTGCAGAACTTTTCCCCATAGCCATGCATGCGAAGTGTTAAAATAATCCAGTCAGGAGGATGCACGTTGGTAAAACAGGTTTTGTGTGTCACAAATATATATGGCCAGTAATACTGCGGTCCTTTATTAATAAGCCGCCAATATATCACGTAGCCAATTAAAGCATTAATGAACATGTGCAGCTTTGACTAGATCCACCCATGTTACAAGCTGCCAGCCACAAACTGCTCATATATCTCCTGAAAGATAACTGCTCTCCAAAGTGTTAATAATCATTGACTCTCTGCTGACCACTAAAGAGCATCTATGGTGCCTCTAGCAGCCAGCATTGTCAGCCAATTCATCTACAGCAAAATACTAGCATACTTGTTGTCTGGAACTGCAAGTGACCTCATGAAGGTGGACAACGCATAAGCACTGCTTAAACATGAACCCTCTTCCCATTTTTCCAAATGATCAAAGTTCTGCTCTCATATGCCACTTATATTGCTTGTAGGAACTATTGAGACCAGACCTGCA